AGGCCCTGACTGCCACACTGTGTCTCACTCCTTCGGTGTTGCGAGTCTAACCCCCATCCTGCATGCTGCCGCCTGGGCTGCCCCTCCCGCCCCACCTCCTCCCTCACCACCTGCCTCCTTCTGCTCAGTGCCAACACCTCCCTCCTGCAAGGCTTCCGCTGCCAGTCAGCCAGCCAGCTGTCCCGGGACCGGCTCTCAGCTCTGATCAGGAGGATGGCATCGCAGCAGGTGCTCCTCAAAGCCTGGCAGGTAAGAAGCCCTGGCTGGCATGAGTGGACTGGCGTGTCGAGGGCAAGAACAGGCTCCCAGGAGAGGCCCTGGAGATGGGTAGGAGGGCGAGTGTCCCCGGCAGGGACACAGGCCAGCAAGGGCCAGGACCGTTCGGCCGGGACGGTCTCTATGCCAACCTGCCAATTTCACAGCCGCCTACGAGGCATCTCTGAGGCCAGTGGTCCGCAAACTGCGGTTCGCACAAAATACCACATGCGGGCGTGCACATACAGTGCAATTGAAACTTCGTGGCCTACGCGCACAAGTCAGTATTTTGTGGAAGAGCCACACTCCAGGGGCCAAAGAGCCGCATGTGGCTCGCGAGCCGCGGTTTGCTGGCCACTGTCTTAGGCTGACTCGAGGTGACGGAGGTCTGCCCACCCCCCGTAGGGCCCACTTTGGGTTGTTTCTAGGACTTCTCGGCCAGTTGCCCACAGACCCCAGCCTGTTTTCGGTTGGGTGAGGGCTTGTTCGCCTGGCCTGCGCTGGCCTTTCTGACTCCCTTGGGGTAGATCTTCCAGCCTGCTGGCCTTCCCCCTGGGCCATGAGAGGGGGCCGGCTGAGCCCACCTCAACTCACAGCTGACCTAAGCATGGCCTGCCCTGAGTTGGAAGAAAGGTAGGGAGGGGGGGGGAGAGGAGGGAGGAAGGGAGGAGGGAAGGAAGGAAGGAAGGGATGGAGGGAAGTCAGGGCAGGGGTGGCACTGGGATGAGCCTCCATGGTGCAGTGGGCAGGGTGGACAGGGCCTGAATGCCAGCCCGGGGTTGGGGGGACAGTAATGTTCGGGCTGGGTTTGCCCCATCTGGGGCCATTCTGATGTGGAGGTGGAGGCAGGCAGAAGAAGACATCACGTCCAGGTGACACAGAGCAGGCAGGTGGGAGGAGGGAACTGGATGGATATGGGGCCGGACATAGGGGTCTTGGGCCCAAAGGCCTAACTGAGGGGGAGTGTGACATGGCAGAGAGGAAGGGGCTGGCGAGGGAGTGAGGCATCATTCGCCCGACCCAGCTCAGCTGCCTGGCCAACCTGGCCGCCCTACATGGCCTCCAGAGTGACTTTCCGCTGCACCCACCTGACCTGCTGCTCTTCTACAAGTGAGTGCCCCTCCCTCCCCCAGCCCCTCCCAACATCGGGCAGACTGAGCATGCTTCCTCTGGGTCCTGGGGACCCCAACTCCCCAGGGGCACCTGGGCCACCCCAGAGGACCCCTGGCGGGCCCCGCCCTCCCAACAGCCCCCCACCTGCCTACCTGCAGCCTGGGGCACGTAAGGGAAGCCGACTGCCGGGCCTTCACCGGCCGTGCCGCCCAGGGTGACACCGAGCTGCTGGCCAACCTGCCTGACCAGAGGGCCGCCCTGCAGCACTCCGCCTTGGCCTGCCTGGTAGGCCCTGGGGTGGGACAGGAAGGGTGGAAGGGACCTGGAGCCGGGCCCTCGCTGACCTGCTGTCCTGCAGGGGGTGTCCCACCCACCGCGGCTCAGCGCCTCAGATCTGCTGCTTCTCGGGGTCCTGGTGTGCGACATGGAGGCGTCCAGCATCGTGGCCTCGGACCCCCACGTGCTGCAGAACCTGCAGCGCTGCCCCCGGCTGACCCCTGCCCAGCAGGCTGCTCTCAACACACTGCTGACCAGCGGGAGGACCGTGCTTGGGTGGGTGGGGCCCATCCCCTCTGCGAGGCCTCCCTCCTGGAGATAAGATGAGGGCAGCCTGGGGTTTGGGCCTAAGAGCTCACTGAGCTCCACAGCCCCACTGATCTCCCACTTCTAACGTCACTCACAGCCTTTGGGGCATACAGGTTTGGGGGTGCTGCCAACACCCACTGAGCGCCTCAATCCCCTGCCCTGAAGCCTGGGTGGGAGACAGTCTGGGCAGACGAGGGGGCCCCAGCAGGGCAGGCCCTGGGAACTGTGCACTCTAAGGGCTGGGTACTGCTCCAGACCCAGCCCCCCCTTCCCGCACACCAGGCCCCCTATCTCCTGGAACCTGGAGGGGTTGCAGGCTCTGGGACCGCTGGCCACCTACATCAGCTCCAGCCTGTGGATGCAGGTGCAGGAGGTAGGATGGTGCCCTGGGGCGGGGAGCGGGAATCGAACTGGCCCTAGACACAGAGAGGGGTGTCCAGCAGACCCTCCAGGCCTGAGGGCTGACCATACAGCCACCCAATGCCTGAGCGGTGTCCCCAGTTGCTGCCATCGCAGAGTCCCTATCTGTGGGATGGGGGAGGAACCAGGTGCCGGCGGTGGAGTCCTCAGCGCCCACTGCCAGGCCGTGGGCCTGGACTTCTTTGGCAGCATGGTGGCTGCATGTCGGGCAGGGCGGCTCAGCCAGCGTGACATCAGGCCCTTCGTCACCAGCTTCCTGGAGGCCAAGGCCAAGTTGATGTCCTCACGGCCCAAGCGGGGCACAGGTCAGTGTGGCCTCTGTGGCCTGGGGACACTGCTCTGGACTCCTGATCCCTGGGTGGGGACACCCAATACACGGCCACACCTGCCGCCCAACCTCCTGAGCTGTGTCCAGCATAGGCTGACCGGTCAGAGGCAGTGAGGCTGGACTTCTGGGCCAGGGCTGGGTTGGAGGTCAAGGTCAGACTGGACTTGGTCTACTCTGAGCCAAGTTCTTGGCTAGGGGTCAAGCTTGGGGAGAGAGTCCAGGGAGGGTGAGGGTTAGCAGTGAGGTGGAGCCTGCAGTCAACCCCCGCTCCCCAGCCACAGGGCGACCCTGCATCCAAGGCAACATCACGGCGGCCACGCTGCAGGATGACCTCTTCCTGCTTCACTACGACTGCTCCCAGCTCGAGTCTTGCCTGGGCAGCCGAGTGCTCAGGGCCAACGTGGACCGCTTGCTGCAGCACCCGCTGCCTACTGAGTGTCAGCGCGTCGTCAAGGCCAAGTTGGCTCGGGTACACTGAAGGCTGGGTGGGGGCAGGTGGGTGGTGGGCGCTAGGGCTGGGCCTGATCCGCTCGCCTGCCTCAGATCTACCCAGGCGGCATCCCGGAAGGGCAGCTCCGGCTCATCGCCTCGCTGGTCTACCTGTACTCTCTCGTGGAGATCCGCCAGTGGAACATCACGTCTAGGGACACCGTCATGACCCTGCTGGCCTCGGACGTGGCCCTGGAGAACCAGACGGAGGTGAGGGCAGGACGGGTGGGGGAAGGTGGTGCGGCTGGGAGGAGGGGGTACCCGCGGACCCTGACCCCAGCATTGCCCCCAGGCCATCCTGCAGAAGTTCCTGGACCACAAAGGCACCATCACTAGCGCCCTGCTTGTGGCCATCGGGGGCTCCCGCCTCTGCTGGATGAGCCCCCGCCAGATCCAGGCCATCCGGCCCTCGGAGTTCCGGTGAGCCGACCAGCGACGCGCTCGCTGCACCCTGGGTCAGCTCACCTCCTCCCCCAGCAGAACTGGAGGGGGAGGCGGGGGCTCAGGAGGGGTCTGGGCCAGGCCTACACAGGTGTGTTAGTTTCCTACAGCTGCCAAACTGCGTTGTTGTTTTTTCATTTATTTTTGGTTAATCCTCACCCAAGGATACTTTTTCCATTCATTTTCAGACAGTGGAAGGCAAGGAGGGAGCAGGAGGGAAGAGAGAGAGAGAGAGAGAGACATATCCACTGGTTGCCTCCTGCACTCACCCACAACCCAGGTATGTGCCCTGGACAAGGAATGGAATCAGCAACCCTTCGGTATGCAGGCCAGTGCTCCAACCACTGAGCCACACCCTCCAGAGCTCAAACTGAGTCTTACGAGAACAGAAACGTATTCTCTCACCGTCCGGAGGCCAGAAGTCTGGAATTAGGGTGTCAAGAGGGCCAGGCTCCCCTTGAAACTTCCTGCCTCCTCCAACTTCTAGTGTGGCTGCCAATCCGCGGCCTTTCTTGGCTTACGGCCTCATCACCCTCTCTCTGCCTCCACCATCAGCACGTGGCTGCCTCCCGCCCGAGTCTGTGTCTACCTTTCCTTCTTTTACGGCACCAGTCGTTAGCTTTTGGGGCCCACCCTGATTCAGTAGGACCTCGTCCTACGTTGATGACATCTATACGTAGGAAAGAGCCCCTTTCTGAAAGAGCCAAACAAGATCACATTCTGAGGTTTGGGGTGGATATAAATTCTGGGGAGACACTATCAGCCTAGCAGAGAGGGCAAAAGGGTAGCTGCGGTTTAGGGAGAGAGGGCCAGGCCCAGCTCCCCGTCGGAGGAGGGCTCCCCGCCTGCCCATCAGTCTCCCCTCCCCAGGCTGGCCGGGGCCCTGGATACCTCCTCCTGCCCTCAGAGCCGGAAGAACCAGCTCTTCCTCAAGGCCCGAGAGGCCTTCGGCAGCACCAGGCCCACCGCCGCCTACTACGACTTCGTGCGCCCCTACCTCGGTGAGACCCCGCCCTGTGTGCAGACCCCCATCCTCCAGAAGCCCCCACCCCCTCTCACCACCTCCCCTCCTCAGGCGGTGCCCCCACAGAGGAGCTGCAGCGCCTGGCCCAGGCCAACGTCTCCATGGACATCCACACCTTCACCAACCTGAACCCCTGCGCGCTGCAGGTGGGCCCTGGGGGCTGGCCCTGGGGGGCGGGGGCAGGCTGGCCAACCCGGGGAGCCCTAGGCCACAGGTCCAAAGGCACCCCAGAGTGGGCCCCGGTTACTTCTCCAGGCTGGTTCTGCCACACCTCACCCCTGCTCACTCCCTGGGTAAGCGCTGCCCTGCCAGGTCTCCCCTTGGTCCTAAAGCTGGGCCCCCACTTTCCTTGAAGAACCTCAGTGTCAACAATGTGAGAACACTGCTGGGCCAGAACGTGGGGGACCTGCAGAAGGCACGCAGCCACCCGACCATCAGCTCCTGGCTCCGCAGCCTGAACAAGTCCCTGGACGAGCTGGGCCTGGACACGGACCCCGCCAGCCCCACCAGCCCCACCAGGACTCACAGCAACACGCCCTGGATATCCCATCTGACTCCCCCAGGGGAAGGGCCTGGGAAGGACGCCCCCACCTCAGGTACAGCCCCACATCCAGCCCTCCCCCTTGGCGGGCCTTCCCCTGCCTCTGCTTGGCCTTGTCTGCCCAAGGCCTCATGGACCCCAAACTGCTACTTGCGCCCAATCTCATACTCTGTTGGCCAACAGTTTTTCCATTTGCCCCGAAGTTGACATTTAGGTGGCACTGGCTTCACCCTGTATCACCCACTGAGTTACCGCAGGATACAATCACCTCCTCCAAAACCCACTGATCTGTATGAAGTAGAGGCCAAAACCCAGGGAGGGGGAAGCTTTGAGATCTTTGTTGGGGCCCAGAAGAGTGGCCACACAAGGTCTTCCCTGCCCAGAGGGATAGTGAGCCTGGAGCCCAGAGGGAGGGGCTGCCCCAGAGCCGAGGGAGGGTCCTGGGTGTGGCTCCCAGCGAGGACTGATGGGTGCTCTCTCCATGTTGCACCTACAGGTAGCCCACCAGCCCACCTGGGGTACCTGCTACTTGCTGTGGCCCTGCCCTCCAGCCTCCTGTGGCTGCTGTATTGGGTGCCCTGGGGCCCTGTTGGGACTCACAATGTCCTCTGAAGACAGCTGCTGTGCTGGTAGGTGGAGCCGGACGCCAGCCCAGGCGAAGGTGCCAGCCCCAGGCACAGAAAACCTCAAACTCGCCTAGGAGCCTGCCCACACCCGGCCCCCAGGATCTGCAGCTGCACTGAGGGCCTGGGCAGAGCTGTGACTACGGGGTCACCGGCCCCTGCCCACTGCGGGAGACATGCCCCACCCTCTGGTCTTCTTCAGGACAAAGAACTGGGGCTGGGAGCGGGCTCCATGGCACGTACTCCGCGGGTTTTATGTCTTTCTTCTTTTTGCTGATTTTAGTAAAGGACAAGGTGGTCCTCCTGCGAGTGTCCCTTTGCCCTCCCCCGAGGAGGGGCACAGAGACCCCTCTGCTGTCCCTGAGGAGTCGCCAAGGCCACGCTGGGTTTGTTGGCCTGGCCTCAGGGGAGATGGGGCAGCGGAACAGCATCAGGAAAGCCCACCCCCCACCTCACACTCCCCTCCTCCTGCCTGGAGTCCCTGCTCTGCTTCCCCTCCTTTCCATACAAACAGAAGGGCTGCAACTCAGGGCGTCACGTCCACAGGTTCCAGCCTGCACGTCCACAGGTTCCAGCCTGCAGGCCCCCACCCCTGAGAACACCACCACCAGCCAGCCCCTCCTCCTCAAAACACTACAGCCCCTTGGGCCCATGACACCAC